CCCCCCTCTCCCCCCGGTCTGTTTCCTGAATCTGACTGCGGTTAGCACACACCCTGAGTTGAAAATGCACTCTCTAAGCTGGCTTAGAATGTAGTGCATTATCCTCTTTTTAGGACCATTTATTGGGTACTTAGATGCGTATGGCATTTTAAACAAAGTTAGATAATGCAGCCCGTGCTGTTTAGAAACGTACAACTTGAAACAGATCACAGTTGGTGGGTTAGTTCCCTGGGAACAGGTCATTGAGGAGGAAGATACAAGATTTGAGCCGTTAAAGGACATTGGAAGTCACTTAATCCAACCCCTCATTATATAGATGGCAAATGAAAGCAAGATACCTTGAATAGGTCAGTTACACAGCTCACCCATGGCAGAGCCTCCTGGACATACTTTAACCATGTGCCTCTGGTACACTTTCTATAGGGTGTGAGACTCAGACTGGGCTGCCTCCTGTGGGCTTTTCTACAAAGGTAGATGATCTTTGTTTGATCCTATCTATAGTAATAAAATGCGACAGAAGACCTTAGGAAGCTCAAGAAAGAACTTGGAAAACGGCCGAGTAAGCACAGCTGAGACGCTAGAGAGCAGAACATTTCCATAATCAGGTAAGAGTGTTTAGGACCAAGATTATAAAAGTTAGAATGGCAAGAAACAGTTGGAGGATGTTTTCACATTGTTACAATCCCCATTTGACTAGTGGTGTGGGGTAGCCACAGATGGAAGGACTATCCAAATTGTTGCTAAGTCTTTAATCTAGGCATAGAGTTTATTCCAACAGAGATAGGCTTCTGTCTCCAAAGATATGTGCAATTTAAAATCGACAAGCACACTATGTATATGGAGGATTTCAACAGTATAGACAATTTACTATGGACTTTGTGATTTGAGTATAACCGTGGAAGCACTGTTACTAGAACTCCAGGGATAGTCTGTGGAGTTTCAAATGCCCACGCCACAATATATAAAGGCATCTGGGAGGAATGACAAAAGGCTGACCCAGAGCATTTCCCTGACCTAAAAAGAAAAAAGCTGAATTAGAGTAGGGGTGGGTAGCCGTGAAGAGACAGGGTAGAGTTTGCGCTCTTGCTCGTCTGGCTGGGAAAATGCTTTACTGTATACATAATCGACTTCGTACTACACTAGGGCTCAATTAGAGAGGGCCCATCCCATTCTGTTTCACTCCGTTTTGATCCTGTAGTCAGCTGCGGAGTTATAGATGAAGTGACAAGGATGGTATCTTGATTGTATCCAGCTGCTTGGAATCACTCAAGGGCTGAGAGGCCCTGCATGAGGAACAGCGCTCACTAAAGGCTCCGAAGCAACCTGAAATTCAGGACACCTCTGATACCTTTTAGAGCAGCATAGTTCACCATCTGACTCACTGTCACCAAATTAAGTCCCTGAGAGAAATCTGATAAGTGACTTCAGCCAACAGTAAGAGGACCGAAATCTTAATAGCATTGGACTCGACAACTGAGCCAATAATAATAATGTTGTTATTATGGCTGCAGAAGAGGGGCTTGTAAAGAAGAATCCCTAGGGAAAGCAATCTGAACTTTCTTTGCATGGATTAGAGAGCTCTGTTGACTCAAAGTAAGCAAGAGGGGAAAAGCAACTTCCGTCTTCAGCAGAAGTGCCAAGCGAATTGGATGTCCCCTCCCCATACCCTGCTCCCTTCTTTCACCTTGGTATCTCTGGTGTTTAGTTATGTGTGCTTGGGGCCCTTCAGAAATCTCTTTAACTCTGTGAATCAGTGGTCATGGCATTGACGTGACTTGAACAGGCAGGTGCTTGGTGCTGAGAAAAGGCAGCCGGCAGCACATTTCATGGCATCTGCCCAGGCCCACAAAACAAACAGAAGTTATGGCTCACATACTATGTTGCTGCTCTGGGCTCTATAAAACTGTAATAGTATCGTATTATTTTAATCTGCTGAAATACAGACTCTGAAGTAGAGAGAACACAGCAGCAGTGTTACATATCTGCGAAAATGTTTGACATGGATTCATTTGTCTGCAGCTATTATGACGATGCCTGTGGTCGATGAGCTCTGTTGATTACGACATGGTGCTAATGAGGCCAAGGTTGTGGGTTTGAGAGCCCTGTTAGGCGAGCTGGTTTCACACAAATGAAAGCTCTTTTCATGATTCCAGACCACGCCCAAGACCTGGGTCAGACATTCCATTAAAAGCATGGAGATGGTCACAGGGAGAACTGGACAAGACAAACCAGTGTCTTGGCAAAAATGCCCCTTGACCTGCTTCAGGAAAAGCAGGTCACAACATGTGCTTTAGTGAGGAATTGGGACTGTGATCTTCACACACCGTGGATATCATGTTATTTTTCATGGTAACTGCTGGTCAGTACTGCTGCAGACTTCTTTCCTGAATTAAGGGGTATACTGGCTCTGGTCATGAAGAAAAGGATTTTTGGTTCCTTTCATTCTTGGCTTTTTAGTCACTGCGATTCTGCCCATTTGTGCGTTAGACAACTGCGTGGAATGTTGTTGTGTGCCTGGCACTGTCCTTTGTCCTTAGTATACCACACTGTACAAAACAGTCTCTGTCCACCTTGAGTTTAAATTTTGTAAGAGGAAAATACCTAATGACTAACCAAGATAACAGTGCAATCGAAAGTTTGATGGGGTTGGAGTGTGTGGCAAGGAGTGGCTGATTGGGGGTGCTGTTTACCTCAGCAAGGAAGGTTCGAGAAGCCCTCTCAAAGTAGTCGACATTTAAACAGGGACCTGACGGATGAGAAGGACTCAAGCCTTTGAAAGAGCTAGAACACTCCAGCAGAAGTAACAGAAAGAGCAGAGGGCTCGAGGTCTAGTGGTGGCTGAAGAACAGAAGGGTCTCTGGAGTGTGAGGGGACATGGTGAGAGAAGAGCGAAGAGGGACGGGCCCTCTGTGACGTGTGAAGGAGTTCAGATGGTATTCTCAGTGCAGTAGGAAGCCATTTTCTGTTTTGTTTTGAAGGCGGGACCTTTCTTTAAATATTTTGGGAGTGATGTTACAGATTGAATTGTTGAAGTCCTGATCCTCAGTACGTACCTCAAAATGTGACTTTATTTGGAAATCAGGTATTTTTAGAGGTTAATCAAGTTAAACTGTGGTCAGGGTAAACCCTAATTCATGGACTGATGTCCTTATCAAAAGGGGAAATTTAGACACAGAGATAGACTTGCAGAGAGGGAAGATGGCCTACGGAAGATGGCCTTGTGAAGATGGAGGGTTACAGCGAGGCATCTATAAGCCGAGCAATGCCAGAGATTGACAGCCAGCCACCAGAAGCTGGGAAGAGGCAAGGACAAATTGTCCGACATGTTTTAGTGGTTGCATGACCCTAACAACCCCTTGTTTTCAGATTTCTGACCTCTAGAACTTAAAACTAATTTCTGATCTAAGTCCCACAGTTTGTAGTTCTTTGTTAACAGCAACCCTAGGAAACTTAAAATGGCAGAGGGTCCTAACACACTGGCTTTGCCCCAGGGAATGGCATGAAGTGTCTTTTCTGGACTCAGCAACACTCGTGTGTTGGGGAAGCCTCTATTTGCTCTGGCATATGATCATATGATCTTTATATATATTTAGGAAAATTGATGATGAAAATAACTCTATTAAAATAGATATCAAATAAGATAGAAGGCACTGGTTGAATTCCCCTGTGCAGAATACCCTAATATTCTTTTAGGAATGATCCTTTCAGGGATGCTGTGCAAATGATGCTTGGGAAGGGCAAGAGTGGCAGGAAGGCGACAAGTTAGAAGGCTAGCACAGTAACCTTGGTGAGTGATGGTGGTGATTTGGGCTAGAGGGAATGGCACTAGAGGTGATAAGAGATAGAACTAGAGCCAGCAGGACTCACTCATTGATTGAACATGAGGAGAGGAGGGAATAAAGGCTGAGTCTTAGCTTTTGGGTTTGAGCAATTGGCCGGATGATTTATTGAGATGGAGAAGATTGGGAGAATGACTTGTCTGGGGATATGGAATCAAGAGTTATGTTTTGGCCATGTTAGGTTTGCTTATCCAGTTGGAGATACTAACTAAGTGGTTGGCTACCTTAGGAACGTTCGGGACTAAACATAAATTTAGAGGTCACCAGATTATTGATGGTATTTAAAGTAATTGAAGCTAGACGAGATTACTTAAAGAAAGAGAGTTTGAAGAGGTAGATAGGGCCTAGGACTGAATTCTCAGGAACTCCATTATTTAGAAGTCTGGTGATGGTTGAGGAATTATCAACAGAGTCTGAGAAGAGGCATCAAGACCAGCCAGCAAATTGTCACACTCATTCATGGTATGGATCTTTTCAAAGTCAAACTAAATTACACAGAAATACATGGGAGAAGGTATTGGAAGTTCCTTATCCCCAGTATACCCAATTCTGCTTAATCCAACAAAACGCCGTGTAAGGACCTTTCCAGATATGGAAATCAGTATTTGTTTTCATTGTGTTACAGATTACAGAATCAGACAGCCCTTCAATCCTTTAGGCTTCCAATAGGTCATAAGAATGGGTGTATGTTCAAGAGAAATAGATGTGTTTTTTCATTGGTTTTTTTTTTTTTTTTTTTTAAAGAAATGGAGACTTTAAGTTTTTACCATAATCATCAATTTAATACAAATCAAGGCAGTTGAGTTGCAGGGTTCCATTTATCCTTCATTTTGTGAATTCATTAAGAATGGAACCTATTTCATTAATCATGTGTTAAGAGATTGCCTACTTTGGCCCAACTCAGTAAGCTGTTACCGCCACATTACTTGAAATTCCCAAGCACATACAGGAAGATTGGGAGGAAGTCAGAATCAGCATCTGTCTTTGACTATTGGCAGAATAACTCACACCTGTTTGTTGGAACATCTCTAGAAGCCCATTATGACCTTAAGTTATAATTTTTTGAATCTAGGAAGTCTGTTGATACCTGTTTGGATAACTCAGCACCGATTGATTGCGGTCCAAACTGGGGCTTGATTGTTATTGTGCGTCTGTTCTTAGGTCTGGCGGGAATTTCCTGACCGGTTGGTGGGTTATCCGGGTCGTCTGCATCTCTGGGATCATGAGATGAATAAGTGGAAGTATGAGTCCGAGTGGACAAATGAAGTGTCCATGGTACTCACCGGGGCAGCTTTTTATCACAAGGTAAGAGGGCACAGTCTTGGGGCAAGTTGACAAAACTGAGAGAATGATACACATTTTATCTGATCCAATTTAGTTTTTCATACCTGCTGAGAGGGCTTACAAAAGCCATATTGTATGACAGTGTTTTACAAATAAAGCTATCCTTTTTCTAATTATAAAAGTAGTGCACACGCAGAGCAGAAAATACGAAAATACGTAAAATAGAATAAAGAAAAGTTGCTTGTAATTCTGTCACTTAGAGATAACCATTTTATCTTTTAGAGGCTACTTCCAGCTTGCCATTTATTTATTTACTTAATTGTACTTATACACAGACAGTTGTAAATATTCTCATTAGCCTGCTTTCTTCATCTATTGTATTCTGAGGCTTTTCTCATGTCATTAACATTTGTTCATAAACTATTACTTCTTAGCATAGTTAAGATACCATTATATTAATGTTTTAGAAGTCATATATAACTATTTTACTATCTCGGATATTTCTTTCTAAATTTCTGCTATTTTCGATAATGCTTAATATCTGATGTTAGTGATTGATGTATATTTTCATAACTGTTTGTACTCATGACCATTGTGATAGATTCCTAGAAATAGAATTATTTTATCAAAGGGAATGAATATTTTGAGTTTTTTAAAGGTATATGTACATACATGTACATATACATATATACAACATGTACATATATATGTTGTGAATATTCTAAACATATATATGTTGTCTGTGTATATGTGTGTGTGTATGTGTCTGTTGGTTTCAGTATTGTTTCTGTGAGTTTACACTCCCACCAGCAAAATATAAAGCTGTTTTACAAGCCATTTCTTGCATGAAATATGTTTAATAGAAAAGAAATTAGCAATTTTAATAAAAAAAAGAATTTTGTTGTTTTAACTTTGATTACTAGTAAGATTGAAATTCCTTTTGTGTATTTATTAGTCTTTTGTACTTCCTCTCTTCTGGGAATCATCACTTCATGGTTTTGTCTCTTTTTATTAGGGAGAGATTGGGGAATATGCATTTGATTTTAGAATATTCAGTTCAATGGTAGGATGCTCCCTGGGAGTTTATGGCTCAATTAAACAATAATAACTTGTCTGTTGTCAGCAGTAGCATGAGGAACTGATGTCAGGAGAAAGGACTGTTCAGCTCAACACAGTTCATTTAATTTAGCTGAATTCATATTGATTGTGTGTTGTTAGCTCAGCGTTGCTGCCCTCAGTTTTCAGGTCTCTAGATCCAGGAATGATTTTTTTTTTTTTTTTAATTTTGCAACAAGCAAATGAAAAAACAAAAACTGAGGTTTACGATTCATGGGATTTAGGGTAGTAGACTATGTATGCTTTTTTTTTTGACCCATTAATTTCTACACTATTTCATATATATGGTAGTTTTAGAATGGCCTCATTTTTCTTCTACTTTAAAAAGCACACACTTTGGAAGAAGAATGACCATATTGAACATGCTTGGTCACTTCACCAAAGGCATTCTAATACTTTCTTTTACTCTTCCTATTAATACCGCCCTGTGCTTAATCTTATGAGAAAAATCTTGTCCCCATGCCTTGGCTATGCTACCCCTTATTTATCAGCCAAAGGGAACTGCGATTTTTAAATATTTCTTCTTTCTGTCTCACTTGACAGTATTTTAATTACCTGTATACTTACAAAATGCCTGGGGATATCAAGAACTGGGTAGATGCCCATATGAACTGTGAAGATATTGCCATGAACTTCCTGGTGGCCAACGTCACGGGAAAAGCAGTTATCAAGGTAGGAGGCTCTGCTACTCACTTGCTTTGTGATCTTGGGCAAATATCTATTATCTGAGCCTAAGAAGTTTTTGTAACTATAAATTAAGTATAGGACTAGATAAACTTTAAGCTCTGTTTTAGTTTAAGTTTCTATGATTGATGCGGTCACACTGGGAAATCAAAGCTAGGCTTTCACAAGTTTAAACACGTTTTCTTTTTTTATAGTTTCTTTAGTTGCAGTTTTTAACCTTCAGTATCAGAGATAAAAGCTATGATAAGTCAATCTGTAAATCAAAAACTTAAGTATATTCTCAAAGCTGATTTGGAATCTAGTTCTTTTAGTTAAAGGATGTAGTTTAAATTTTTCTTAAGGTAGCTTTTTAAAAATATATAGATGTTGAGAAAATAGTACACCTTATATAGTTATGTAATTGTAGTTATTCTAAACACAACGAATTTAATTGTTTTAAAATATCAATTACCAGTTTTTAAAAGTACCTTTCCCATAGCATATTAAAAGCTGAGAATACACAAAGATCCTATGGGAGGTCTTTCTATCTGTATAAGAAGCCTATTTATTCCTCAAATTTAGACATTGCGCAGATAAGGTCCCTAGATATGTAGAGAAGGTACACTTCTTTATATGAGTAGAATCATCTTGGTCTTTTTTCCTTCTAGATTAGAATTTCATGTGTGCAAATGGGCAATGCCAGGTTCCCTAGGAATCTGCCTAAAAAGCCAAATTCCTAGGGGAGCTTATGCTGGAAGCATAGTATGGCATTGCCCACTGATTCCTCATGCTGTCAATTAATGAGAGAAGCCAGATTAAACCAAAGTGAATAGGGAAAGAGGAAAAATCACTCTCCGTGCTCACCAAACTTGCCCCAGTCCATACCCTGTCCCCTAGCTCTCTAAATAACTCAGTGAACAGCTGACCACAAAAACAATTAAATAATATAAATTGTGAGAGTTGTTTTTAAGGGACTCCTCCCACCATCCCTAAATTTGCTTTTTTTTTTTTTGAGACAGAGTCTCATTCTGTCACCCAGGCTGGAGTGCAATGGTGTGATCTCGACTCATTGCAACCTCTGCCTCCTGGGTTCAAGCAATTATCCTGCCTCAACTTCCTGAGTAGCTGGGATTACAGGCGCCCACCACCATGCCCAGCTAATTTTTTTTACTTTTAGTAGAGATGGGGTTTTGCCATGTTGGCCAAGCTGGTCTTGAACTCCTGACCTCAGGTGATCTACCCACCTTGGCTTCCCAGAGTGCTGGGATTACAGGCATGAGCCACCAGGCCCGGCCCCCAAATTTGCTTTTTAATATGCGTCAACATGTTTTTACCTGTGTCTGCCCACTCTGGACAGTAATGCCCAGTGTCTCAATGCTTCTTCGCCTGGACTTAGTTATCTAGCTTTCTTTCCCTCCCATCTCTTCACTGTTTATTTATCTTCACTAGGTTGGGATAGCAGCTTCCCCTGAGTTTGCTAGAAAGATCGCTAGAAGTTTAAGGTTTGAGAGGGCAGAGGGGGATCAGGGAAAAAGATTCAGAGTATGAGGGACTATTACAATTTTTTTCTTGACTCGAGGGAATTGCAAAATAACCTGGCATCTTCAAGAGCTGTGGTGCTGCTCATAGCATTTGCCATTAGCTGGAAAGAGGAGAAAGAGCGCCTGTTGGAACTAAGGTTACGGTGAAAGTTATGGGAAGCTGTATTTCATCGCCCTTATGGCTACAAGAACAAATGGTGTTTATACAAGGACCTTGGCAGTGAGAAAACAGTCATTAAACAGGAATTAAGGAGCTTGTCATCACCACTTCTTTCCAGTTACAGAAGGCAAAAGCCCTCCAAGCCTTTTTTATTGGGCCCTTGTGAGTTCTACTGTTGGCTGAGCCAGACAGAGTTGAATGGAGGAACGGCGAGGTGTGTGTGTGTGTGCGCACGCACATGCAACATCTCAGCTTACAACACCGAGGAATGCAATGTGGTGTCACAAGCATGATTTTAATGTCCTTGACACTGAAAGCCAGGTATGTTTTTGTCTCCCTCTGGCAGGTAACCCCAAGAAAGAAATTCAAGTGTCCTGAGTGCACAGCCATAGATGGGCTTTCTCTAGACCAAACACACATGGTGGAGAGGTAAGTGAGCCTCCAACCAAAAGTGTGCCTTAGTCTCTGATCTCCATTTCCTGCCTTAGGCCTGTTTATGGGACTTTGTTGGAGATATAAGGACAGCAGCTGGTAGCCATAGTCACCTTCTTGTGCTGTGGGAATTGGGTTAGTTCAAGCCCAGGTCACCCAAAGAATTAATTTGGAATGCTACTCACTCAATTTGTAATGGCTGGAAGGGTCTTAAAAATATAGCTGGCCTTAAACTCCAGAAGACAGATTTTCCATGTGGACTAAGCAGTTAACCATCTACAGTCATTTGAGTGGAAGCTAGTTAATTCCAAGGAAATACTGGATTATTTTTCAGGGTAATAGCTCCATGTTGTAGTAAAAGCTTGATTAGAAAGAATTAAACCAACCCCCCCCCCCCCCGAGACAAATTACCTTTGCTGACACTGTGGAAATGCCTGCCAAGAACAGGATCGAAAGCAAAGCCCTTATGTTACAGACAGAGGGGCAAGACAGCTCTGAAATACTCTCTTTATTTCAATTCAAGTCAGTTACTCAACCAGCACACCTTTGTGTGGAATGTAATCCTAGGCCTTGTAGGTAAGTGTAAAAGGAGTGGGAGATGTGTGTCTGTGTCTTCCCCTAACACTATACTAGCCCTAATAGTTCTCACTTGTACCCCCAAAGTCCCCAAGCTTTAAAGTGCCTGAATTAGACCGAATACTTTCAGAAGGCAGTTCTCTATACAAGACAGCAAGCTCTGACATCCCAGTAGCACTTGTCAGGGGACCAAAATGCACTCAGATAATGATATAGCAGCCTTTTGCAATATCTAGTTCAGATTTCACAGATCTCATATGCCTCTGCTTGCAGAATTCATGTCTGAAATCTATCAGCTATATTAAAATTCTTCAAGCCTAGAGAATTTCGGTGTGTATGTACAGAGTTGGCCTGGATTCTATGTTTTACTCCTTTTTACCCTCTAAGTAATCTTTTTATCTTCTTCATGCATAAACATTACCCAAATGACATGACCTTTACTAGCTGCTGATGTGAAATAATATACTATCACTGGCATCATAAGTATTTCACAGTTAAGGGTAGCGACATTCACTGTCATAGCTCCTTTGGAAGAGACCCAGTTGGACTTCTACTAGAGTACATGAAATTGTTATTTAAACCTACCCCATTGTCTACATTTGGGGAAGATTCATAACAGCAAGCTAAGTGGTTATTATTTGGGCTGAGTTAAAATGGTGAGCATATATGGCCCAGGAAAGGAAGTATAGGGAGAAAAGTTGACCTGATCATGGCCTTGAACTTCATGCTGAGGCTAAACAACTCCTCTAGCACAACTGATATCTTAACAAATGTAAAGAGGTTTAAAATGCAGTGAGGACTGGGTGTGATGGCTCATGCCTGTAATCCCAGCACTTTGGGAGGCCAAGGCGGGTGGATCACCTGAGGTCAGGAGTTCAAGACCAGCCTGACCAACATGGTGAAACCCCGTCTCTACTAAAAAAAAAAAAAAAAAAAAGAAAACTACAAAATTAGCTGGGCCTGGTGGTACACACCTATAATCCCAGCTACTTGGGAGGCTGAGGCAGGAGAGTTACTTGAACCCAGGAGGCAGAGGTTGCAGTGAGCTGAGATCATGCCATTGCACTCCATCCTGGGCAACAAGAGCGAAACTCTGTCTTAAAAAAAAAAAAAAAAAAATTCAGTGGGGGAGATTTAAGTTAAATATAATTATTATTAAATAATGATGTGAATAACTAAGCTATGGAGTGAGTAACTAAGGGAGATATAGAGGCTTTCTCTTTGGAAGATTTTTTTTTTTTTAAGAGACAAGATCTTGCTCTGTTGTGCAGTTATATAGTCATGGCTCACTGCAACCTGGAACTCCTAGGCTCAAGTGATCCTCTCATCTCAGCCTCCTCATCTGGTACTACAGGTGCATGCCACCATGCTAACTGGTTCTTAAATTTTTTGTAGAGACAGGGTCTTGCCATGTTACTCAGGCTGGTCTTGAACTCCTGGCCTCAAGGAATCCTCTCACCTAGGGCTCCCAAAGTGCTGGGATTACAGGCATGATAGGTTATGTTGTGATATGTAGGATATATAGTTAGGAGGAGATGCTGATGAAGGGAGGGATTGGAGTGAACCGTTGGACTTTAACAGTATCAAGGACCTTAACAGTGTTACATATACATGTAACAATGCTATTTGTGATGAGTCCTCTGAGAGAGGCTCGAAGGGAAGGGCTATAATTGATCAGGTGAAAGAGAAGTAACTTTTTGCTAGGATCATTATTAAGAATAACTTCCTAAAAGAGGTGACACTTGAAGTGATCCTTCAAAAATCACTAGGATCCCAATCAGTAAAGCCCTGGGCCAGAAGCGGAGAGTCTCGGCAGTGGAAACTGGATGGTTTGTTAAGGGTGCCTGATCAGCAAGTTCAAGGTTTATTTGGCAAGCAGTAAGAAGCCCAATTTGGCTAGAGCTTAGAATGCTAGCCTATTAGTGCTGGACTCCAAAGGGCTTTGAATCCCCAAATAAGGAGCTAGAATTGTTTCCTTCGGGCTCTGGTAAGCTGTAGAATTTTTGAACATGAGACTAGCTGGATCCAAGTATTGCTTTGAGATTAATTTGGAAGTAATGCACAGGATGGAATGAAGAGTGAAGAGATTGGAGAAAAGGCCAGTTAGAAGAGCCTTTAACGAAGCTGCATGTGGAAAGGAAGGAACAAATTAAATTACAAGCGATTTTTTTTCCCAAAGGAAGATGTACCTAAACTTGGTTTCCAACTGAATAGATGCAGGGAGGGTATGGAAAAGGAATTAACAAAGATGTCTTTAAGATTTTGAGTAAAGAGGGGTGGTAGAAATACCTTTAGCAGTGTAAGTAACAGGTTTAGGAGGAGATACTGATAAGCGGGGAGATTAGAGTGAACTGCTGGACCTCAACAATGTCATTAATGGGGACAGGAGACGATGTTAATCAGGGTGAATTTGGAGAATAATAAGATAAGTGATTTGGGGGTCTTGCCTTCTGTATATACTACTTTTTTTTTTTTTTGGAAGACCGGAGTTTTATTATTACTGAAATCAGTCTCTGTATATATTTTTATATATGCATATCAAGATATAGATATGTGGAACTAGAATTTCAGAAAGAAGTTTTAAAAAAAGTTGAGCCCAGTGATCCCTCAGTATCTACAGGGGATTTGTTCCAGGACCTCTGAAGGATACCAGAATCCACACATGCTCAAGTCCCTTAATCAAATGGCCTAGGATTTGCATATAACCTTCGCATATCCTTCTTTATAGTTTAAATCATCTCTAGATTACTTAGAATCCCTAATACAACATAAATGCTATGTAAATAGTTGTTATATGGCATTGTTTAGGGAATAATGACATGAAAAAAAAAGTCTGTACATGTTTAGTATAGATACAGTTTTTTTCCAAATGTCTTTGATCCAAGGTTGGTTTAATCTACAATATGGAACCCTTGGATGTAAATGGCTAACTGTATGTGGCAGTCATTTGTCCAGAGAAAACCGTTAACTAAAGAAAAGCAAAGGCAGAATCTTGAAAAATTCTGACATTTAGGAGACACAAAGAGTAACAAAACAGAGAGGCAACCAGTGGAAAGGCCAGGAGAGAACCAGGATATACAGTGCTCAGAAGCACGGAAGGAACAAGGAACAGGCAGGCTGGAAAAGGCCTCTGAATTCAGTGGTTGTTGGTATCTTACAAAAATAATAGCCTAGTGTGCTGGTGGGCGCCTGTAGTCCCAGCTACTCGGGAGGCCAAGGCAGGGGTATCAGTTGAGCTTAGGAGTTCAAGGCAGTACCACCCCACAGTTGCACCTGTGTGAATAGCCACTGCACTCCTGCCTGGGCAACACAGCAAGATCCCCATCTATAAAAAATCATAATAATAATGTCATAGAGTATGAAGCCAAAGGGTTATAGAGTATGAGTCACTGGTGAGAAAGTAGAGTTAGTGAATGTAAACTACCCTTTCGAGAAATTTAACAGAGAATAGAAGGAAACAAATCTGGAAATAGTAACTGGGAACAAAACTATGTGTATTAAAAATTGAGTCACTGAATTATTAAAGGAGGCATTTAGATTGGGAGGGGAGAAGACATGAGTTAAGCCATCTTGGGTAAAGAGCTGGTGTTAAAACTATAGAATCCATCCTTCCTTTCTCTTCCTTTCCCCTGTCTTTGGCTGGTCTTCTCTCCTCAAACAGGCCTCCTGCCTTGGCCACCTAAGTAGCTGGAATTATAGGTATGAGCCTCCATACCCAGCTGTTTTATTTTTAATAATCTTTGCAGAATATACATTTTATGCAAAACAATGAAAGCAGTTAACCACTTTACAAGTGTGTGACCTTGTGTTGGGTTTTGTGGTTCAGTAGCTCATGTATTTCTATATTTGGGGGTCTGGGATCAGAAATCTCAGTTGCGTAGGAGAGTAGATTCCATTACTACCCAGCTTCTGTTTCCACCATCCGCTGTTAGTTCTTTAAGAACCAGAAGCATGTGGAGCTGTTCATTTTGACAAGTATCTTCGCCAAGGTTAGGGCAATGTGACAGGCAAACAGTACTGATTTAAGAAAAAGAACATAGAATTTTGAATTAGGCCAATCTTTATTCAGATGACGAGTTTGCCACACTTATTAGCTGTCTGACCTAAGGAAATTGACTTTACCTTATCCAAACTTCAATCTGTTCATCTCCTAACATAGAGTTATTAATATCTGTTAAATTACAGTGTCCCTTCATAGGTTCAACAAATATTTATTGAGCATCTTTGTCCCCACGCTGTTATGTGTGGGAATAAATGAAGTAGTGATACGTGAAAGCCTGTAGCACAGGGCCTGGGAATGTTCATTTCCTTCCCCATTTCCCCAGCATCAGTCCTAAAGACTGCTGATCACTTTAAGTAATGGTATGCGTTTGAAAGGAAAATAGAAAACTATGAGTTCTTTCTTCCCCAGACACTTTGATCACTTCAGAGATAGTCATTGGCAGTTCTTGGTGTGTTTGTACTTGATTGGAACACCAGCACAGGAGAACAGTTACTGACATGGTAGCCGGACCCCTGACAGAACACTCATGTGAGTCACCGGCAACCAGCCAAACTCCTGTCTCTCCTAACCTGCTCTCCGACCTAGACCCTCTGTGTGGAAGGAAAGTAGGAAGCATTGTTCCTACCTGGCAGGAGAGTTAAGGATCTTGACCATTCCAGGAGGCCCACTGCTTCTCGAGTGTGGGGCTGTGTGAAGGAGAAACAAGTACTCACTAGACCTGGGTTAGCCAGGGGCAGCAGTCAACAAATCAAGCTGGCCTGAGCCCCAGTGGCTTCTTGCCTATGACCCATTCCTGTTGGCAGATCTAGTTACAGAGGAGACATTGTCCTCAATACTCTCCACAGGGCCATGGGGCCATTATCCTCTGCCAAGAACCAGGATTCTTCTTTAATACATACTTGCTAGTACCTACACTGGGCATGGCTGGGCTTTGCGGGCCAGAGTCTGCATGGATAACCAGAAATGAAAAGAGTCTGTACATGTTTACAGGCAGAACAACAGTCAAAAGTAAAACCTTGGAGAGATTTGATTTTATCTGTCATTGCTTTGAGCCTATAATTGGAAGAGGGAAGTTAGGGTCCCATGCTTGGTCCACCTCATTTTGTTAAAGTTCATCCATCTTGTCCCAGTCTTCCTTCAACTTGGAACCAGGAACACCACCTCCTGAGTCTCCAAAGACTTCCAGCAGGAGGGAAGCTCAGTCACTGTCATGTAATGATAGAGTGTAATCCAAAGAGCAGGCTCTGTTGCCAGTGCAAACCTGAATTTAAAACCCAGTTCCACCACATTCTACCTCTGGGTTCTTGGGCCAGTTACTTAACCTTTCTGAACCTTAATTTCTTAACCCATAACATGAGGCTGCTATAAACCCAATAGTTGGGCGAGGGGGGTGATGAGTGTGAGGGAGGATTACTTTAAGGAATTCATGAGATATGTATGTAAATTATATGGCACATAGCAGTTGTGAATTTCCAGTTCCCCTTTATTGGACCCTAGAATTATGTTAGTAAGTACATTTGTATCATCTAATTAAGACTTTAGCCTCAGAAGCCAGAATGCCTGCTTTGGCTCTAGCTTTTTCTAGTTATTTGACCTTTGAACATGTTATTTAGCCTCTCTGTATCTCAGTCTTCCCATTATAAAATGGGAATAATAGTCCTACCCCATAAGGTTGTCATAAGGATTAAGTGCATTGTTAATGCATAGAAAGCAATTTTAACACACTTTGAACATATAGTAAACGATAGTGGTTGATTTGTGGTATTGGTGGGTACAATGATATTATGAGTTAAAAGCTCAAAATAATGACAGATTTTTTTTAGAAATGTAATGACCAAGAGAGAAGATAATGGCGGTCTTCTTAATTAACTGCTTTCTTGCTAAAGCTCAAAGCACTTGAACAAAAACTTGATGAAAATACTTGGAAACAATGCTTGCAGTATCTCTGGGACCTCTCTGGTCTGCGTCTTGACATCCAGCTCCTGCTTGGTGAAAGGTTCCGCCTCCAGTTAGAGTGTGTTCTTTTTGTGGCGCTCTCAGGTGTCCTGGGCCTGACTGAGGCGAGAGTGTTGACCTTTCTGAAATCCATCCTTGAGATCCTCTTGACTTCAAAAGCAGCTTTTCCAGGCTTGTTTTCCCCCTGGCCTGGTGCTGAAGCATCCTCGTTACCCAGCTGTCACACTCAGTTGGCCTGATTGACCACAACCATTCCTGAACACATGCCTGACCTGCTCACCTCTGAGAAGCCTGGCTTTGGGGGTGGAGTGGAGGTAGGGAACCGGCCTCTCCCCTCCTCTAGTGGTGCTGTGCTGTACTGGCACTGAAGGAGTTATTGCTAACAGTTCTGACATGGCAGTGACAAAAATGATGAAAATGATGAAGGCTGTCCTATGTGAACTTCAGCTTTCACGGAAGAGCTTGTGCACACTAACATAATTCCCAGAGATTGCCACTTACAGGACCTCCGAAACGTCAGGTGAATGAATGGAGTGTTTATTGTTGGAAATCTGGCCCCGTCACCGTTTTTTGCCTTTCATCAGTTTATGAGCAAGATCTCTCCTCTGCCTTTTAAACGGCAATAAACTGAAGTTCAGATCCAAATAGTTTTTTTTTCTTTCCACCCTTTGCCTTCTCTTAGCTGGCATAGATGGGGTTAAGAATTGTTGGCAGCTAATCCACCTTGGTTTGAGGCCCTCTCACACTGAGCTGGAGGAATGATTGGAATTTGAGGGGGAGGGGAAAAGATATTCTGACCTTTGCAGGCCCGTGGCCTCCAAGCAGCATCTCCTGTTCACATTCTCCCACCGAACTAATAGTCCAAGCACCCCCAGTTCACCTCTTTCAGCCTTTTTCAGAACCTGGGAGGAGACTGTGGCTACTTGAGGTTTTTTGGTTGATGTTGAACATTACATATTTTGCTGTTGTCTCTCAGCCTCCTGAACATTTTCTCTTTTCTCCCTGCCCCCATCCTTCTCATTCTGCTCAAACCCCTCCCTAAAACCTACAGGTCAGAGTGCATCAACAAGTTTGCTTCGGTCTTCGGGACCATGCCTCTCAAGGTGGTGGAACACCGAGCTGACCCTGTCCTGTACAAAGACGACTTTCCTGAAAAACTGAAGAGCTTCCCCAACATTGGCAGCTTATGAAACGTGCCACTGGTGGAGGTGTGAATGGGAGGCTGGGGTAGGAAGAGAACAAGGCCTGCCAGCACTCCGATGTCAGAGTAGTGGGTTAAGAGTGGAAGGTTGACCTACTTGGATCTCAGCATATACCCACCTAACCCACTTTCTCAAGAACAGAAACCTAGAGGGAATATCCAAGCACCTCGAGCTATGCAACCTCTGTTCTTGTATTTTGTATGATCTCCGATGGGTTATTCTAAAAAATGCCAAGTGGAAGCCTTTGTGGCATGCTCCAGGTTTAAATCCAGCTGAAGCTCCCTTTGTTTTCAGTTCCTGTATAACAATCTAGAAGGAAACTTCACAGGCTATAAGACTGCCGGAGAAGAGAAACCTGTCAGCCCATTGTAGGTCTGGGGATTCATGTAAAAGGTGCCTGGACGTCACTTTCAGTGACTTACATCAGTGAGTTCTTTGGAGGAACAGCCAAGCCCAGAATTTGGTGCAAAACGCAGGCATCTTGGTGGGATTTGCTAAATGCCTTGGGACCTGGAGTGCCGGGACTGTTCACAGGAAGAGCACCAGCCGCTGAGTCAGGCTCCTGTCAGTTCCATGAACTGTTCCTCTTTGGTTTGGTTTTTTGATATAATTAAAATCATTTTTTATTCCTTTTTCTACTGTGTCTTATACACCGATTCCTGATAGTCCAGGGAACCCCCTTTCTCCTTTGGTATATTTAACTCTGCCTTTGGCCTAACAACAGTCATCAGCCCATGTCTGGGAACATACTCCAGGAGAAATGTCTGTTACCCTGTGCACCAAACATAAGAGGTCCCAAATCGTAAACATTTTAAGAGCAGATGACTCAAAAACCTCCAGAGAAATCTTTTTGCTTCCTGATTAGATCCAGTCAATGTTTTATAGGTATTGTCAGAGCAAAACAGAGGGTCTGTACTAGCCCTACGAGGAGTTGCTCTAGCTGGTACCTGTAAAAGTTGTGGGAATTGTGACCCCCACCCCAAGGGGTGCCAGAATTTCTCTCATTCTTTTGGTATAAACTTAACATTAGCCAGGGTGGTTCTGGCTAACGTTAAATGCTGCTGTACAACTGCTTTGCAACAGTTGCCGGTATATTTAAATCATTAGATTTCAGCATTTACTAATACTGCACATGTGTGAATTATACCTCTTTAAGCCCAGTTGATGAACAAATCTACCTTGGCAAATGTTAAATGTTATGGATTTGAAACAGATTTAGCTGGCTCTAATATTAAGATTAGCCACAGTTTGGGCTTTAGCCATAACATGTGTCCCCAAAACACAAAATACATAACAATTTGCTTAGAATATGGATATAATTACAAAAACCTAGTTGTTATGCCAGTCAGCGTCACTCATATACCATTCATTGTTCTGTCGTGTGGCGTGAAGGTGAGCAGTTACTATGCTGTGGTTTCATCAAGAGTCACTTCAGATGTGTTCCCCAGACTTTGAGAGGTCAGAAAATTTCAGAAGCAGCAAAGTTGGAGGTGGAAATCGTAAGAATTTTGTCTCTTTCATGTGAATGAGCGATCCAGTCATGGACTATTATTGCCAAGGGGACAAGCGATCATCTCATCCAGTCTGTTCATTTTGCAAATGCAGAAACTGAAGCTGTGATTTTTTTCAGTGTCTGACAACAGCAAATACATGTGCTTAACAAGTACTTTTGATTAGGGTAATACGTACTGGTCAGTAGGAGACATGGAAAGCATTTTGGTCTCATATTCATAATATTGAGGATGATATGATAGAAAACAAGGAAATAGGATTTCTGTTGTCACCCAGATACCAGAGGCTGACAAGAACAGTGAGGTCCTCTTACCTTTCTAGGGCTTTTCTAGTTTGTTCTCCAAGATGTGGGGCAGGTATAGCGGAGGGCCTAACATCGAAATCTCTGCTGAAAGCTATGGATTGTGCTGGCATTGTGCATGTGTCATATTGCCCTGGCTTCTTCAGATCTGTCTGCCCTTTTACTCATCACTGAATGCACTACCTAAGAGGCTGGTTTCTAATGCAGCTTCTCTCTCAAAGGGTACATTTTTCAGTTTTTCTTTTTTAAAATCTTGATAGTCCTTTGATTTTAGAAGAGGAACTCTTTAATCAGAGTTCATTGTGAGCCCTAGAGAGCTGTGTGACTTTATCACCATCATAGGAGTCATTGGACTTTAAAGGCCTTACAGCTCCATTTAAAGTGCCTCATTAATCCCAGGAATATCGGGGATTAGATCTTGCAACATAGCATAAAACAATTTATGTTAAAGAAGGAACATTATATCCTAGGCACTTGAAACAACCTCAAAGATGACAATACCCTCCAAACACATAGGCAGTACAGTCATGGTAGAAATTCAGGGCAGGGTTATAGCAGGTGATGGTGACTCATGGATTCAGAATGGGCTAGGGACTCCACTTCCTTGTTAGTGTATTTCTGAGCTGTTCAACAGCAGACCTCACCCATAAGCTTAGGTCAGGATCGTCTGCCCTTGGGATGCCATAGAGCCTGGTTTCAGAAGCGGAACAATAATACTAATTAAAATGTCATGTTCTGGCCTACAGCAGACAACAGCTGGTTTTAGATTAAGAAATCTTTTTAAAGAAATCACATCTTAACTGGTCTATAGTCAGACGAACTTGAACTGGCCCTGGCCCAAGTGCACACTGAGCCACTGCCTTTGCCCCCAGGGACCTCACTGGGATGGGCCTGCTTGGAATGCCAGGGCTGGAAATACTTTTTTATTTTGCTGATTAACATTAGGTAGTTGTTAAAATGTTTATCTCATGTATTTTACGAACCCTCATGCGTTTAGGCATTTACCTCCTTTTCTGAGAGAATTAAAGAGGAAAACAGCAACTTTAGTTGTCAGAATCTCATGTTCTTTCCTGCCACCGATGCTCTGCTGTATCCTTTCTTTACTCAGTGTCATTATGTCCAAAGCTCTGACTACCCTGGCTTCTCTGCCAAAGCCTCATCTGCTTCCAGCTGGGCTTTGAACTCGTGGTTTTTAAGTGCTGGTTTCTCTGCTGCCTTTGGAAAAAACTGACCGTCATGCTGGTCTGTGCTCACGCGGACTGGGAGCTGGAAGAGACAAGCTCTCTCTTTGCTCTCATTGGCCAAAGGTGTTGCTAATAACCCTGTGATCCCAGCTTCCTTCTAGGATGCCAGCCTCTGACAGCCACCATGCCAGCAAGGAAACTAGAGCATCTTTATCAGTGAAAGTATGTTTCTAGCCACAGGTTGTGATTTGGGGTTAACATCCAAGAACCCCTGAGGGTTTTTAGCCAAGATAGTAATGAGAAAGTAGATGAAGCAGAGACTGGGTTTGGAAGTGGTTGGGTTCTGGGAAGGCGCTTCCCGGCCCTGCAGTTAGGTCCTGTGGGGACCCAGCTGATAGGGCAAAGGCTTTGGGTGTTGGCGATTTCTCATCAGCCACCCATCCTGAGCCTTTGCTTTGTAGCTTCTTTGGGGATATTCTGCTTTTTCCATTTCTCTTGGCCCAGGTACTCTTCCATTGCAGCAAGAGAGGCCACAATGGGCTATTCCCCAAGCAGCCCTGGCATGGCGAGGCAGAGCAGAGAACGCTAAACTGGCCCCATACCTCCTCCAGCCGCTTCCTGAGGAGCAGTTCTGGCAGGAGTGTTAACCATATTGGCAGCAACTTCCATCCAGAGAGACTTTGGAAGCAACTCAAGCTTTCCACTGCAGGGCCTGGAGGCATATGAAACCTGTGGGGCCTGCCCCTGCTCACCTCACCCCAGAGCTCTGATCAAGCCCTGGCGCTTCTCTTCTCAGCCTGTGTTTGGTACTTACCCACTTTCTACTTCTGAATAAAATCAAGGGCAGCATTTGGTCTCATTATACCAGCCATGCATCATTTGTGAATAGGCCTTATCGAGCTTCTCTTGGCCGAGGAAAGTCAGGGAGGCAAGACCTACTTTAAATTTTAATGTTTCCCCTTCATTTTTAGGGTGGGAGCTGTGAGTTTATCTGAAGACTAGGTGAGGGCATTCTAAGCTGAAACCACAGCCTCTCTTCCACCTCCATTAAATGGACTGTTAAGGGCCGAGAGCAGTGGCTTATGCCTGTAATCTCAGCACTTTGGGAGGCCGAGGCAGGTGGACCACAAGTTCAAGAGATCGAGACCATTCCGGCCAACATGGTAAAACCTCATCTCTACTAAAAATATAAACATTAACTGGGAATGGTGGCACACGCCTGTAGTCCCAGCTACTTGGGAAGCTGAGGCAGGAGAATCACTTGAACCCAGAGGCAGAGGTTGCAGTGAGCCGAGATTGTGCCACTGTACTCCAGCCTGGCAACAGAGTGAGACTCAGTCTCAAAAAAAAAAAAAGGACTGTTAGGGATCCCCAGCTTCCCCACATTTCCTGAGAGGGTGTGTGGGTCTGTACAGGCAGCCTTGTGCCATTTTTAAACACTTCTGGCTCTCCATTGCTGGCAACGGTGGGAAGATGACTAGACTAGAGAAAGCTTGGCCTCCTCTCCCAACTTTCCAGGCCTCTTTCCTTTTCAAGAAGTAGTTGAATCACCAGCATCTATATCTGGCATTTTGTTTCTTCACATTTGCAACCATTTCAGAGTAGAGGAGGGTTTTTTTTTTTTTTTTTTGAAACAGAGTCTCACTGTCTCATAGGCTGGAGTGCAGTGCTGTGATCATGGCTCACTTCTGTAGTCTCAGACTCCTGAGCTCAAGCAATCTTCTCATCTCAGCCTTCCAAGTATCTGGAACTAAAAGCGCACACCACCACACCTGGCTAAATTTTTTGGTTTTTTTTTGTAGAGATAGGGTCTTACTATATTGCCTAGGCTGGTCTCTAACTCCTGGGCTCAAGTGATCCTCCTGCTGCAGCGTCCCAAAGTGTTGAGATTACAGGTGTGAGCCACCGTGCCTGACCCAGGACAGCGCATTTTCCTTTCTTCCGCTCTCAATTGGTTGGACTACTGGTTGCATCTCTTTACACACTCCCTGAAAGGCACAGAACTATCAGACAGAAGACAAGGTAGTTCTCAAGAGGTCCCAGGCAGCTGTGTCTGCTAGAGGCTTCCTCAGCAAAGCCCCATCTTGTCTACAACCTCTCAGGAACTGCACATGGGTTGGGAGCAGCTGACAGAGCAGGGAATCCATATATCTTACACCAAAGCCACCAGTCCTTGCCACCATATACAACCTTCCCTTTAGAATATATTTATCTGGACTTTTACTTACAGCTGCAAACATATCATTGGCTATTATACCCAAGCATCAACTCAAAGAACATTTGGTTTTCTGGTGACTACAGCTGAAGAACAACCAGCTAGTTACTGATCCAACTGAGGTAAGAGAACATGTATTCAGTCATTCTGTTATTCCAAGTGTTCATTTTCTTATGATAATGTAGTCTTTGCCAGGCAGTGTGCTCGGCCCAGGAGATACAGCAATTAGAGTTGACTAAGACAGTATCCCTGTACTGCTCTTGAGTTCCAGCTCTAGTGGGAGTTCTTGAGCTTGGTAAGATGGTGTGAGTCCATCTGTGTCCTAGGATTCTAAGCATGTATGTTTTAGTCCCAGCTGTAAATGAGGATTCCGTGAACCCCATCTTCTCTAAGGTATGGAGGATGCAAGGAGTTTAAAATGTCC